AAAGTCATTAGTCACAAGAGCCTATACAAATACACATTGCCACAAAGGGTTATTACAAATATGGAAGCACAATAACCACAAAGGGTTAGTCCAAATACAGCCACACATGGCCAAAGAAATTCTAGCATAAAAGCCACTAGTTTGGAAAACTAGGTAATTACCTCCACACACCAAACTATATCTGCAACTACAACCTTTAAATTCCCACAAGTAGAGACTAGACTACAAACAAGCACCAAACTCACAAAGAGTTGATGCAACTACTACAACTCAAGCAACTGCAAACACACACAGAAATAAAACCGCTTAATCACTTTGTCTATCTCCAAATCACAAGTTGAAACGAACTACAAAGATTTGAAGTAGATATAAAGCATGAGCTCCAAATCTGCAAAAACAAGACAAACAAAAACAACCAAGTGCAGCCAACAAACCAGCCAAAATGGCAAAACAACAAGAAGCAACCAAAGGGAAGCAAGAGAATGGGAGGAGTAGACAGAGAAAAGGGGTGACGGCTGAGGATGCTTTTGCTAGGGTTTTCTCTCGCTCAAGGGTTTTTCTTTTAACTCATTGTTAATAATATGCAATTGCACAATTTTCTTTGACTATCCTATACAATTCTTTGCATAATATGTATTGTGGAATTCTTTTAATGTGTACAATCTCTAAGGCACATTGGTAGTGCGTGTGTGAAAATCCTCCTCTCTCTTTCTAACTTTGGCAAACAAAAAAAAGTGTACAATCCAAATCTCGATTTTTTTTTTATCTACCAATCATGCACAAGACTTCTCCTATTTTTCTTAGCTAGTACCATAAAATTGTTTTATCTTAATATGGACATAAACAAATAACATTTATAGGAATGCACTTTGAAAGCGTCATTATGAATTTCTCTACGTGCAATTTCTCTCTACATACAATCCAACTTTCATTCGTTCATGCATTATGAGTCTCATATGCATTAATAATTAAAAATCATTAATTTAAAATTCCTAACAATCACTCGTCATTTCTGTTAAATTGCTGACGTGACACATGTGTGGAGCTCGCACATCCAATGGTATAGAGCCATGTGGTTTTAAATATAATATAATATTTTAAAAATATTTTTAAAACTTAAAATTCATAAAAATTAAAATAAAAACAACTTAAATCTTTTTATATATTTTAAAAACCACTTGGTTTTATACCATTGGATGTATGGATTCTACACATGTGCCACGTCAGCAATTTAATATAAAATTTGACAGAAGCTAATGATAATGACCATTTTGATGCGTGGATAGTAACCTTAAGGACCATTAGTGTCACATAAAAAATTAGGGACGAAATGTGATAATTTCGCAAACCTCAGAGATCATTTGTGATAAAAAGTCAATATAGAAACTTGAGTCACTCTCATGTGGCCCTATAATCTAATATCTAATGATTGGATTCTGACAAAAAAGTTATCTACACAATTATTTTATGCTGAAATTATCTAACAATTGGATTGTTTAGTTATGAAAAAAGGTTAAGAAAAAAATTATCCTATTTTTTCATTGGAGTTAAGGAATTATGTGCATGTGCTTTTAATTTGATGTGACGTGGTTAAGGTTTTTTTTAAGAGAATGATTTCCAAGATGATGGTTGTGGGTTTGGATATAATATGATGCCCTCAGTTTTGTTTTATCTCTTCTTTATCTTTATTATCTGTTTTTAGTATTGTGATGTATTTTAATGTTCCCAAGAAAACAAATGATTTCTAAAATGACGGTGATGAGTTGAAATATGTGTCTTTTTTGTTGTGTCATTGTGTGTCTCCTCTTCATCTTTCTAAAGATTTAGAACTAGTTTTTTGTGTGTGGAAATGTGGCAATATGCGAGTGGGATTGGTGCACCACTTGTGCGGCGGCAGCCTAACTTGGTGCACCCGTCTCACTGTTCAATTTGTCACATTTTTCACATTTTTTTGTTTATTTTATCCATCTTTGCTCCCTCTTTTCCCAACTTTGTGTAAATTTTCATTGGGTTCGTGGGGTCAGCACATAGTTTATTTGCACATAGTTTAAGTTTGGTGGATATATATATTTTTAAAATGTTTGAATAAACTTGCACGTGAACGAATGATTGTTAACTATAAATACATACGAAACTCACAATGCATAAACGAATAAAAGTTGTCCAATTAAGCGTGCGTGACTTTCCCAGGCAAAACCCCAAATACCTCCCTCCACCCATTGATTCACAAATCAACTTGGCTGAGAACTTCAATTGCAAAATGAATTGAAAAACAAAGATAAGAAAGATGTGATTGTAGGAATTTCTTGCATCTCTTTGCTCTACCTCTAAAAAGAAAGATCATTACGCAAGGCAAAGTTTGACAAGTACCCATACCTACCTATCTTCCCATATGCTTCATCGCATTGCGTTTCAGCTGCCTGTCTGACTCAAACATCAGTGAGTTTTGTACCACCAAGCAGGCTTGACAAGTCCCACATGTACCTCTGTCGGCAAAGAACTATACTGTTACATAAATTATCAGCTTAAAAACCAAAACAAATTATACTAATTTGTATTGAATTTGATGCTCAATAATCAAAATCAAATATATGCAAAATTGGAGCACTTGTGTAAAAGATGCTTTAACGTCTGTCTTTCTAAAAGTGAGTGTACTGTGTGTCTCTGTGCCTCGACCTCATTATTTTGGTGCTATTGCGTGTGGCCGCTATAAAACTTTATTACTGATTTTGGGGTGCGTTGGGTTGTGCTCACTCCATTTGGGTCCGTCTATCTCCGAAATTATAAGAAAGTCCATTTTGTTTGGGTCCGTTTATTCTCCGAAATCATAAGAAAATCTATGCAAGTATAAATAATAAGAACCAAGATGCTCGCTTGGTTCTATCTATTTTCGAAATCATAAGAAATTTCGTGCAAGTGCAAATAATAAAAATCATCTTTGAAATCATAGGAAAGTCCATGCAAGTACAAATAATAAGAATCAAAACACTCAGTTAGGTCTATCTATCTTCGAAATCATAAGAAAGTCCGTGCAAATACAAATAATAAGAACCAAAACGCTCAAGAAGTTGAACATAGAAACGTGATAGAGATCCTAAGAGATTATACTAAATAATGTTAGCCAAAGAGGGAAAATTGTTGGTGAGCATAGAATTTCAATCTTAAAGCTCTATTGTTGGACTGCACGTGCTTCACATCATTCAATAGTACTATTTCGCGGATTACTAATTGGTTTTGGGTGAGAAGCTCGGACTTCTACATATTAAAACCACATTGTTGGACTACACGTACTCTACGTCTCGCAAGCAGGTCTAATCCAAAAGTGTGCGGAGCTGGATGACCGCACAGGACTCCAGAAAAATGGGGCATCTTATAAAACCTTTTAGTCCAATAATTAAATAAGCAAAAAAATGTCTTTTAGGTGTGTGATTTATGCTTTTGGGGCATTATCCTAAAACTTTTTTAAAAAATTTCTTCATATACACAGCCGCATGTATTGTTCGAATACATGCAAGAAAAAAAACGTCAAAAAGGAAAAACTTATAACCTAATTTCCACAAAAATTTAATAAAAAGGAAGTATACAAAGAAAGAGAAGATGAAGAAAGAAGAAGAGAAAGAAGAAGCATACTGGAGAGAGTATGAGAGAGAGAGAGAGAGAGAGAGAGAGAGAGAGAGAGAGATATATATATATACCTGGAGAAGAGTGAAGAGAATAACCTTAGAGAAGATAGCAGAGAATAACCCTAGGAAGAAAAAGATGAAAATAGAGTCGTTGGATTTTTCATGTGAACGTGTGTGTTTTTTTCCCTTAGCTGTATAATTAAGCGTGTATTATCTAAACCGGGGTGTGTGAGTTGTATTAGTTAGTTAAGTAAGGAGTGTATAAAAAGTCCAACCCGTATAAAATAGTCAGATAATTAAATAATACAAATTAACACCAAACACCTGACATGGACTATTTACTCCTATTCATAGTCTAATACGATGTACCAAACAAGCCCAAAAGGCCTCACCTTTTATTTCGCCCAGGACCTCCAAAATCAATAAACCAACCTTGAAATGAATAGTAGTCGTCCACGTGTTTAGCTCAAAGTCCCACCACATAAAATGAGCTTATTGTGAGTATAGTATCTCACCTTACCTATTACCATGTTCTAAAAAATGTGATGTATACCCACGTTCTTCGTTAAACCTTATGAATCTCACTTGTTCTTAGAACAAATTTTGTAATTGAAAATTTCTTTCCGAAAGGTGAAAGGCAAGTAGAGATAGATAGCGTAACCCTAGACTTCATCTACAATTTCCAAGTTTCCAAAAAATGGAAATAAAATCAAACAAATCATGTACAGCTGTAACAATTCTGATTATATAAGTTGGTCCCAAAGATGAGTGCATCATAGACTGAGTCCAAAATCATCGCCCCTTCCTCTGCCATCTTTTTCCTCCTTTTATTGAGTAGGGAGGGACCACTTATTCAATGAAATGCCATCAAGGGTTGTTGGTAGTACTATTTACATGTACAACCCTTCACTGCATAATGCCATAATGTTAGCCAAAAGAGAAAGAAGCATCCCTCCTTTCTTTTTTTCTTCGAGTGATAAGAATCGATTAAAGATAATAAAGAGACAAAAGAAAGACCAAAAAAAGGGCCACCCCACCACCCACCTCTCTTTTACTCATTCTCTGTCTTTGTGCATTTGACTGATGTGCCCAAACAAAGTAATTGAAAAAGCTTGCTCAACTACCACAACAATTAATTATTGGGTTCTTTCATCACGCCTTTATTAATTAAAACTAATTAGTGAATCAAGAAGATTAGCAAGGGCACATTACTTCCATGACCATGGGCCAGGCGGCCCAATTTGGTTTTTTATTTTTCTTGACATTGACGAGTAACAGGAGCTATATAACAAGAGCCATGATAGTTAAACGTGCAGGCATTTTGTCAAAAAAGATACACTACTTTTCTTTTTCTTTCTGAAATAACTCAACAGTCAGGAATAAAGTGCATTTTATAGTACAAACAAGAAAGCATGAGGTCCACTGCAGTTAAACTTGATGATGCGTTTACAAAGTCCAGAGTCTGGTAGCTTAATAAACATAAGGCAATATTCTCCATGGGACAAGTTTGCGGTATTCTGCCCAGATTTCTTTGTACTTCTCTGCACAACGAGCTTCATCTCTTCTTTCTCTCCATACGAGCAGAATGAGAAGATAAATTGGATAGAAGTATGGAACTGGGGAACTGCAAAACGAGCGACTTTTAAAAATGGAAGTCTCTTTTAATATGAAAGCTATATCAACATTGGTAAGGGAATAGGTAAACTACCTTATCCCACACGGTAAACTGAAAGACAGTGCAAGTAACAAGTCCCCAAGGTAATTACAGTGCCTTGCAATTCCCCTTCACCAAAATAATCAGAATATGAGAAAATGGTTGTGATGAAGAATGATGAACTTTATATATATTTTGCTTTTAAGTAGCATTGTGAATGTAAGGAACAGAGAGTCAGGGGTTATAGTTAATTTTATGAAATATAATGCATGTAGCTTCCCCAGAGAGAGAATGAGTGAACAACAAGTCAATACATCATCTAATTCATTTTTCAATTACTTGACCTTTTGTGAAGTTAAGATTCCATCAACAGCCAGTCTAGGCAGGTATTCCTCCTACCAGATTGTATTACAGCCCAATTAAATGGGTTACTTGGTTCACCTCAGAGTTTGAAACATTGCTGGGTGATTGATTCAAATACCAATAATGCTTAATTGACAGATCAAGTCATTTCACCTGACCTGTTGTGCTTAATTGACAATAATGCTGAGAAGAAGAAAAGAACAAGATGATATAGAAGGTGGTTGAGGTAAATCTTACCAATAACCAGAAGCAAGCAACTTTCCCCCAATGACCCTTGCAGGCCTACCCCATATAGGTGCTTTAGGATTCTTCTTAATGACATGCTTTTGCTTGTTGGCTCCTCTGAATACCATGTACCTGACCAGTACGGATTTTAAAAGTTCAATGTTAGCACACAGAGAAATTAGGTTATAATGCTCTGAATGCCAACTACAAGTTGATGGGAAGGTTACCCAATCAGAAAAGTCAAACAATTTGCTACAACAGCAGCTGTTCCTAACTCCACCTTGTTACTCAGAAGCCACCATCCCTTTAACAAAGGAAATAACAAGGCAGAAATTTATAACAAAGAAGAACACAATGGCTAAGGGTTTCAATGTTGCTTTAAATCACTCCTGTTTCACAGAATCTATAACAAATATGTTTTATCTTTTACAATTCTACAACAACGCCCAGTCTGAGTTCTCAAACAGAAGTGTATGGAAACACACCAAATCAAGTATTACAGTGTGATGGGGAAAGTAGGAAAGAAAAAACCAGTTGAGTTATTTAAGCTGTAGTTCAGGTGACATGCCTGGATGCTAAAAGTGAAAGGAATCCACACTAGATCTCCAAATACAAGCATGAAACCCAGTCTCTCTGCAATTATGTCCCATCTGTAAAAGGCAAACCATGTGAAAATAAATAAAAAATGCAAAGACAAATGTAACGACCCAAATTGGCATGTTATTCAATCATCACAAAGACAGTGAAGAGAATGCATGAAGAAATATAGCAGACCAAACTTGTTGAATTCTTTCCTCAATATCCAAAAACACAAATGAAAATGGATATACGACTAGAAGACAGAGGAAAAAATAAAATAAATGGCTATAGCAATAAAAAATGACCAAAGATAAAATCAGAATCGTGTGTGTTCAGCATATTTCAGAAAAATGTGTGTGGCAGATTCTGTCTGGGGAGGGAATGGGAACCCTAGGATATACAGGTGAGAAAAGATTCTTGATAATGTAAAAGCAAAGGGTGACACAGGATAAAACTAAGTTGAACGATTCAGCTAGACGTCATGGTAATGCACTTACGTGGAGGTCATGTACTCCTCATGAAAAAAGTAGTCCAGGATGTATAACTGGAAAAAAGAAAAAGGAAAAGGATAGAACTTTCAGCAATCACTTACAACAAGTAAACTAAAGAGTATATACCATATATAGACAATTTTGATAGACAGAGAGAAACAAATATTATACACATATAAAATAAGGTCCCAGATTACCGCACAGAACAACTGGAAGAGGATCATGGATTGACTCAAGGTGCCATCTTGGATACTTCCCGAAAGAACCGAAAGGTTGATAAATAGCCAGCCCATCATTCCAGCTCTAACAAAGAAAAATCTACAGAAGAGAATATCATCTTTAGAAGCTTCATATAAACATAATACAAGAAAGATAAAATAAGGTCTGAAATTAAAAGTAATTACTACTAATTCTATTGGTGTATGTTAGAGTGGCTATATGGAAAGCATGCCACAAATATTGAAGACTGGATTACATACTTGAGGTCGATGCCCATAAACTGAGGATTAAGCTGTATTCCAAACCACCTATTAAACAAATGTAGAGTGTCCGTATTAATATAACTGTAAGATGCATTCAACAAGGGATTGAAGCAAATACAGGAACTGAAAGTTTCATTTTTAAGACAATAAAGGATACAAGTAGTCAATCATTGCATGTTATGCATCGGTGAAGACAAAAATCATCAAGACATTAACTTATTTATGTTCGTTTTCTAAACCACAACATAAATAATGACTTTTCAATCTTTAATATTCAGTAATTATTTTCACTGGTTGAAATAGTATTCCAAAAAGATGATTTTGAATCAAAACCTGTTTGAAACCAAGGAGGTTTTCGATTGTATTAACATGCAGATGGCACAGAGTTAGGATAGGTTGGTAACTCAAGGTTTAAACATATCAGTCCTAAAATCCCTCTATAACATCTTTTCCTACCATTTTTTTTTTCTTTCTACCATTTATCTAATTGAGAAAATGCAAATGTTATAAGGCAGGTAAAGAAAATTGTGGGTGGGGCACTATATATATATATATATATATATATATGCTCATCTGAATTTATATACACAATTTTTAACTATTCACTATATCATATACGAATATAAACCATTTCACCAAATGGAGATGGCTTGGAATAAGTTAGACAAGTTGTTTAAACTACCAGTCATGTAGAAGGTTCCCTGTCACATGAGGCTTTAGGGAAGAACCTCGGTTGCTCGACTTGCAGCCAGCAGCGTAAAGTACCAGTGTGACCTATCATTGTATGAAATTAAAGGAAACAATTACATATCACTTTTGATAAAAGAAGACAACTTAATAATGATGATCCAATACTCACTGACAGAAGATGGAAGATATGGTCTCATAGGGTTAACTAAAAGTGGATGCAGACAAGTGAGTTTATTCTTTACCATTCAGGGGCTCTTCAAAGGTAAATGAAGAATCCATTATTATGAAAAACTATTTGGAAGCTGGTATTTTTTTTTATCCCTACATATTTGCAAGCCAGAATGATTGAATCATTTTCCCCATTATATTAGTTTCATACTGAAGTTTTGGCTTTTCTTTGGTAATTTTAGAGTGAAATCATCTAAATTACGGTGAGGTTGTGGCGGTGGCCATATGGAGGCTCTTCCACATGAGACCATGAGAAGCTCAACTTTTAAGTCACAAAATTGTCAGTCTGAGTTGAAAACAGAAAAGAAAAGAGAGTTTCATTTTATCTTAAACAAGGATGCCAGCACAAGGTTTGTTCATGTAGTTCACCAACTACAACACCAATGTCTATTTCAAATGCTACAACTGAAATATGGACTACTAAATGTCAATTGCTTACTGACTTACCAGAACACTAAACAGAAAAGTTGTTGTTAACAGCTCAAATCCTCTGTCTGATATTGCCTGCAAACATTCTTTTGATGTTAAAATTATTCAATTTTTGGAGCACACAAACACAAAAACTGATGACAACATTTTTAACACTATATCTCCATTAATTTATTTATACAACTTTAGGATAGAGAGAGAGATAGAGATTTGTATCCCTGGAGAACAGCAAAGCTACTTATTATGATGTATCAATCTGGTTCTGTTGCATGGAGCTGGACTCATATTCAGGAAAGTGAAATAACCCCTCTCATGGCAAAAAAAGAAGAATGATATATAGCTGGTGGATTGGAAGTTTAGAGATAGGATGCACTCAAATGCATATGGAACCGCCTTCATCTTTCCAGTATGCATTTCAGGTTTGACAGAGTTTTCAAATTGGTGCTCAACGCTGTATATGAAAAGTGAAAGCATTCAAATTTTTGTCTTTCCAAGAAAAACCATCAATCCTATTTTGGGTTACTAAAGTGATTTTTCTGTATGACAGTTGACACTTAGTCAAATTTAAACCAAAATGTAGATACAAATATATCATCTTCAATTTCCACAACATGAGCAATTGCATGTGATATTACAGAATATGTAAATGGAAATTGGAAGCTGGCGGTAAATGAACATGACATTAATTAGCACTCTCAAGAACCATCAACCCAAATACAGTACTACAAAGAAATTAATAATCCAAAAAACACAACGAAGTTATGACCACATACAGTAAGTGATACGAAATCCATCTTAGCACCAAACCCAAGAAGCCCAACCAGCAACAGAAGTGATAGCAGACCTTACAAGGAGAACAAAAGAAATTGATTTTAAGTCAAAATACATCACACTCTCTAAACCACAGCTGCTCAAGCAATTAAACAAACAGATAGTGTGTGCAAGTATGAACATACTTAAAAAGAAACAAACCATTGCAGCGATAATAAAGACGAGAGCCATCTGGTAAGGTGGCTCCGGGAACAACTTTGCCGGGCAATATAGATCCGGCAATTGCCAAGTAAGCAAAGAACAATGCGAGTATAGCAACCTGAATATTAAGGATCAATTAATTGATTAACTATAACAAAATTGGGGATGGACGAAAAGGTGGTGATGGGTTTAGAGAGGCATACTTACAGAGTTCCATGAGGGAATTAGGAGGTGGAGAACATGACCCAGATCCATAGTTGCAGAGAATAAGAGCTACTCAAGTAGGCACTTGATATACTCTGCTTCTTTCTTATACGACGCGACTGTTCGACAGAAATTATCCTCGTGTTGCCTATTGGTGCCCGTCTCAGTTCTTCGCATTTTTAAATGCTTGGTTTCGCACTTCGCTTTTTTATTTAACAGAAAATTCAATGGCGAGGCATTTAGTTGGCGAAAAAAAATAAGGAGTTTCACTAAAATACTCAAAATGGGGGCTGAAATTATAAAAATACTCAACACCCAAAACACTTTATAAACATACCCAAAACTCATCATTACACACACTCAAAATCCATTTATAAATATACCCAAAATCCATCATTACACACATACCCAAAACCCATTTTGGGTATATTTCTATGTTTAAATAGTGCTTGGGTATTTTTATAAATAATACACCCATTGAAAAATTCATGGTTTCGCCCTTGCTCTCTGTTTTGTTTTTTATAAGTATAAAACTCATTATTGGACTCCCCATTTTTTTGCTAGCATTTGTTCCGCACACCATGTGGCCTGGGACTAAATATAACTGTTTAGTAATGTGGAAAAGAAACCGCTTAATAAACTTTTTTTTATTTTTTTTCCCATATTCACTTTTTATGAAAGAATTGAAAACAAAATTTATTTAGGTTTCCAATTACACTCCTAAGTAATGAGTTATGCAATTATTGACTTTATTCTCATAACTTTTTAAATTAATAAATTATTCATAAACACAAATGTTGCCTTGATTTCCCACGAGAAATGAAAATAAAACTTAAGAGGGTTTCATTTTCTCAAATAATTTGTCATCCCAAATTAGATATTTATAAAAATACCCAATTCTAGACATGTATTTATAAAAATACCCAAGTACTATTTAAACATAGAAACATACCCAAAATGGATTTTGGGTATGTGTGTAATGATGAGTTTTGGGTATGTTTATAAATGGGTTTTGAGTGTGTGTAATGATGAGTTTTGGGTATGTTTATAAAATGTTTTGGGTTTCGGGTATTTTTATAATTTCAGCCTCCATTTTGGGTATTTTAGTGAAACTCCATAATAATTTCTGCATAATGGGAGAAAATAAGAACATGTAGAGAGTTAAATTCATGAGTGTTTACTGAGGGATTATGTTTCTTAATTGAGTAAAATGAATTATGACGAAAACAAATTAAGGGTGCACAATGGGAGAAAATAAGAACATGTAGAGAGTTAAATTCATGAGTGTTTACTGAGGGATTATGTTTCTTAATTGAGCAGACAAATTAATCTAAGATGATTATAAGCCTACAAAGTTGAGTAGATAATGGGTTACTAAACAAAAAAAACAAAAAAACACTCAAAGTAATGGGTTACTAAATTAATCTAAGATGATTGTAAGCAAATTAAATCACTCAAAGTGTTACCAAAAAAACAAAAAAAAACCCACTCGAAGTGCTAATTTTGAGCCACAGATTATTGGGTAGTTGCAGCTTGTGCTGTCTAAATAAGCCCAACTGCATTTTATAATCAACTCGTCTTCCATACGTAGGTTCTGAAACTGAAAGCAAAAACTCTACAGCGAAGAACAGAGGACTGGTTCACTGAGAAAAATTATCAAGGTGGTCTCTGCCTGCAACACTTCTCTCTGTTTCTGTGTGTTTGACCTTTTGTTATTAATCTCTAAAATTTCAATTCAATTCAGATCTGTGAGTTATATTAATTTGTTCTATCAAGCCTCCATGGCATGCTTATCGTACCAGACGTGTGCGTTGATGTCATCGTCGTCATCATCAACACCCACGTGCCATCTTCGTGTTCGTGCGAATACAGTCGTAGCTGGAGCGAGCTCCAAGAAGACGAGAGGGTTGAGGAGATTGAACGCGGTTGCGGAGACCTCGGCGATGGAGGTCGTGGAGCTGAAGAAGGGGATAGCTGAGCTGTACGACGAGTCGTCTGGCTTATGGGAGGACATCTGGGGCGACCACATGCATCACGGCTTCTACGACCCAAACGCCGACGTTTCGGTCTCCGCTCCGGACCACCGCGCTGCCCAGATTCGCATGATCGACGAAGTCCTCCAATTCGCTGGCATTTCTGGTCTCTCTCTTTCTCTCTGTCTCTTATGTTTTAATTTTTTAAATTGCTGTGATTAATTAGTGATTAATAATTTTGGATTAAGATTGTAATGAAGGTTGTGATTTGTGGTTGCAGAGGAAGCCCCAATCAGAGGGCCTAAGAATGTGGTTGATGTTGGGTGTGGGATTGGGGGCAGCTCCAGATACCTGGCAGGTAAATATGGGGCCAATTGCAAAGGCATCACCCTCAGCCCTGTTCAAGCTCAGAGGGCCAATGCTCTTGCTGATGCTCAAGGGTTGGCCAACAAGGTACCGATGTGTCCTTTATCCTTAAGCTAAGCTTGAAATGGTTTAAATTATTTAGTATCAAACTATTTTTTTTCTAGATTCATTTGTGATGGACCACATCACGTATTTACGTGGAACTCACCATCGGATCCACCATCTACTAAAGATGTGATTGATTAGTAGATATGATACATGTAATGTTACTCAATTAATTCAACGAAATTCGTATTCATTATGTAACAATGTGGAAGTTTTGCAGGCTTCCTTTCAAGTTGCAGATGCTCTGGATCAACCATTTCCTGATGGGCAATTTGATCTGGTCTGGTCCATGGAGAGTGGGGAACACATGCCTGACAAAGCCAAGGTTTATTTTCTCTTGAAGTTCCAAGTTCTTGTTCTTTTGTTATTAATAATGGTCCTCCTTGCTCCTTAGCCCTTACCCAAGAAATTCTCTGCAGTTTGTGAATGAGTTGGCTCGAGTTGCTGCCCCAGGAGCAACAATAATATTAGTGACATGGTGCCATAGGGATCTTGGTGCTTCTGAAAAAGCCTTGAAGCCAGAGGAGAAAAGGCTCCTGGACAAGATATGCAATGCTTTCTATCTTCCTGCCTGGTGTTCTACTGCTGATTATGTCCAATTACTTCAGTCTCTATCCCTCCAGGTATTTACTTGCTCAAAATTGGCTGGTCGGAAGCTCCTTTAAAACATGTCAAGTCATTTGGGGCATGAGCCCCATCTTTTTGAGTGAACAACTTGGTGTCTCTGCACCAACCTGCACTGACATCTGAACCTTCCATGGCAGGACATCAAGGCAGAAGATTGGTCTCCGTATGTTGCCCCATTTTGGCCAGCTGTTATACGCTCGGCATTGACATGGAAGGGTTTCACATCGCTCTTGCGCTCCGGTAAACTTAGCATTTCTTTTATTTCCCTTTGGGTTCTGTTTGAACCAATTGAATTAATTTTCTGACAGGTCTTTGTTTGCTCACCCTTTTTAGATATGCTCAATGTCTGTTCAATTTGTCCACTAAAACTTTCAAGATGCACATTTTCCTACTTCATTGATCAATTTTTGTAGCTGCTTTAAGATTATGTTTATGTGTGCTTAGAGCTACAGATATAGTCTCAGCTTTCACTTAATCCATCTATTTACTTGTGTTTCTTTATTTGAATTGATCAGGAACAAAAACAATAAAGGGTGCATTGGCAATGCCATTGATGATCCAAGGTTTCAAGAAGGATCTTATCAAGTATTCCGTTATTACATGTCGAAAGCCTGAATAAACACTGCAGTATGAGGATGGCAAGAAACAGAATCTATGGCTGCATCTATCGTTTCCCAATATTATGTGCCTGTGAGAGCCATCTTTTCTGATTATGAGACGATTTCTTATGATCATCATATACTTTACTTATGGCTCTTCTGGATAGGCTTTAGACTTTGTATTGTAGCCTTTAATATTTTGTTGGTTCTCTTCAGGATAGGAAAATGAACGATTTGTAAACCACAGTATTAAAACTCTTGGGTATACTTATTAACGAGATTTGATAACCATATTGTCCAGGTCAGCTGGCAACTTGAGATTGTTAGAAGAGCACATGGAGGGGACGTGTTCTAGTTAGAGTTGTTAGTAGAGTCTGTTAGTTTGTTAAGCTTTGTTTACTTAGTCTCTAAGACTGTTATCAGATATATAAGCTGTAGCTTTACATTGTAATCACTAATCAAGATCAATACACAATTCTGAGTTTTCTGTTCTCTGCTTTCTTCTTCATTCTTCTCTAAATTCCTCTACTGTTATCATGGTACCAGAGCCATCAGTGGTTTTCACAGTCTAATCGATCCTATTCCTCTGCTTCCGCGTTCTCTTCGATCTCGTTCTCTCTCTCCTTCTCCATTGTTCTGTTCCACATCCTAAATTCTCTACGAATTTCTTCCAAGCCCTAAATTCTCTGCGGATTTCTTCAAAGCCCTAAGATCTTCATGGCGTCTTCTTCTTTCAAGATTGAAAGCCTTCTTGGCATGCTGACTATTTGTCTTGCCAACGACAACTTCTTGAAATGGAGTTATCAAATTGCTTCAGTTCTTCCAGGTTATGAACTTTTTGGCCATTTCGATGGTTCCTTTGTTCCGCCTCCTAAGTTCGCCATTATTGATGAAGAAACCGACACTTCTGTGCTTACTGTGGCCAAGGTCTTAAATATCGATGGTAACGAAAATATCGGTAGTCCAAAAACATGGAAATTTCGATAGAAATATCGGGATATTATTGATATCAATAAAAATTGAATAAAAACCACGGAAATTATAAAAAAAACTTGGAAATTTTTATTGAAACTTTTGAAGATGTTTATTCAGTCAATTATGTATTAGTTTATCACAAAAAATTGGAAGGAAATGCATTGCATGATGGGTTAACTAATTTAAGTTGATCATATAGCGAGCTGACAAACACTGTGAGTGTAGAAAATATGTAGTAATTAATGAAAGAAGATTAAACACACCATAATCATTTATATATAATGATTTACTACAATATTTTTACACATTGCATGGTAAGATACATGAGTGACTTAGTTCCACATAGAGTTCTTATGAGGTTGAAAATTTTCACTATCTTCATTATTTCTATGTGTAGGGTAAATGTATTGTGAAGAGTAGTCATCAAATGAATAACCCCCAAAATAGTTTTGCATGTAATTGTTCAAAACAAAACAATATAAATATACATATTTTAGCATATTATCACAAAAACATAAGCAACATGGTGGTTAAGGTGTTGGAGGAGTGAAATGGCAAGGGTTTGAAATCCCCTTTGTGTATGCTTTGAGGTTTTTTTTACACTCAAGGATTTTCGAGCTCAACTTCTCGCTGCTGAGCAAACTGCCGAGGCTCGTGTTATGACTCACATTGCTTTGTATACAACTAATGCTTCTTCTGGTCATTCAGCTTCCTCTGTTGCTTCAGGTTCAGGATTATTGCCAACTCCATCCTCTTTTCTTGTTGCATTTATGGGTTCTTTTGATCGTTCTGTTATGAATTCCTCTCCGCCGTTGCCGCATGTGAATTCTTCTCCAGTACATACTTCATCTTTTCCAGTACTTACTAAACCTTTATTGCAAGTGTTATCTCCACAGGCTTCTTCCTCTTTGAATCATCATAATATGCAGACTAGATCCAAACATGGAATCGTTAAAGCTAAACAGTTTCCAGATTATCAATGTTATTTTACTACTCTTCCTTCTCTTAGTGAAGCTACTGAGCCAGCTACATGTAAGGTTGCTTCTCAATCTTCTGCTTGGATTACAGCTATGCAAGAAGAAATTGAGGCTTTACATACACAGGGTACTTGGGAGTTGGTTCCTACACCTCCGCATAAGAATATTGTTGGTAGTCGATAGGTTTTTCGCATTAAGAAGAATTCTAACGGTACTATAGCCTGACATAAGGCTCGACTAGTTGCACAAGGTTTTAGTCAAGCCCCTGGTTTGGATTTTAGTGAGACTTTTAGCCCTGTGGTCAAACATGCCACTGTTCGATTGATTTTAAGTATTGCAGCTATGAACAAGTGGTCTCTTAGGCAGTTGGATGTGAAGAATGCTTTTCTTCATGGTGACCTTGAAGAAGAGGTTTTCATACGTCAACCTCAGGGATTTGAAGATTCATAGCATCCTGATTATATGTGTCGTCTGAAGAAATCTTTGTATGGTCTTAAATAGGCCCCAAGAGCATGGAATGCTAAATTCACAGGTTACCTTCCAGCTCTTGGCTTTATTCCTCTCATTCTGATCCTAGTTTGTTTGTGAAGGCTATTAGTTCAAATATTGTCATCTTTTTTTTATATATGTTGATGATATCATCTTGATTGGTTCTAAGGTTGATTTAGTTCAAGAAATTATTGATGAGTTGAGGGCAGCGTTTGACATGAAAGACATGGGCAGATTAACATTTTTCTTAGGATTGCAGATTTCTTATAATACTGTTGGGGATATTTTTGTGACTCAAACAAAGTATGCTACATACTTACTTGCAAAAGCTGGCATGACTACATGTAGGTCTTGTGCCACTCCTTGTAAACCTCATTGTCAAGTTTTGAAGTCTGAGGGTGAGTTTTTATCTGATCCTACTATCTATAGAAGTGTGGTGGGGGCATTACAGTACCTAACATTTACTAGACGTGATCTTTGTTATGATGTTAATACCATATGTCAGTATATGACTCAGCCCTCATAATTACATTTTCAGTTAGTTAAGAGAATCCTGAGATATATTCACGGTACTTTGGATCATGGTCTGACTTTTACAAGTGGATCTTGGGATCTTCATGCTTATAGTGATGCAGATTGGGCCTCATATGTAAACACTCGCAGGTCAATTACTGGTTTTGTGGTGTTTCTTGGCAACAATCCAGTACCGTGGCAATCTAAGAAGCAAAATTCTGTTTCTAGAAGTTCAACTGAGGTTGAGTACAGGGCATTGGCTAATACAGCAGCTGATTTAGCTTGGGTTCGACAAGTTTTACTTGATTTGAAGGTGTTTTTACCTCAGCCTCCTACAATCTACTGTGACAATCTTTCAGCCCTTGCATTAAGTTCCAATCTTGTATATCATTCTTGGATCAAACATTTAGATATTGACTTTCATTTTGTAAGTGAAAGAGTACAAAAAAAGGAATTGATTATGCAATATATTCCCACTGAAGAACAAGTAGCAGACATCTTCACAAAGGGATTGCATGGTCCTATATTTATGAGACATTGTAGAAATTTGCAACTTAGCAGCTCAGCTGGGTTTGAGGGGGAATGATAACCATATTGTCCAGGTCAGCTTGCAGCTTGAGATTGTTAGAAGAGCACATGGAGGGCACATGTTCTAGTTAGAGTTGTTAGTAGAGTTTGTTATTTTGTTAAGCTTTGTTTCCTTAGTCTCTAAGACTGTTATCAGATATATAAGCTGTAGCTTTACATTGTAATCACTAATCAAGATCAATACACAATTCTGAGTTTTCTGTTCTATGCTTTCTTCTTCATTCTTCTCTAAATTCCTCTATTATTATCAAGATTATGTAGATTTCAGTGAAATCACAAATATGACCAAATGTTATGGCGCCTTGGTTAGAGTCACATTTGTCTTCCGACCGTCTTGATCAATGATACGTAACTACAGAGTTGAATTCAAATTTTCCTTCTACCTTTTTATTTTTATAAACGAACTCTTCCCTCACCCGAAGGCGAGCGAGTGCACTACATTGAGTAGGAATTCGAAATAGAATAAGCTGTTGGGAAGAGAATACCATGGATACGCTATTTTGAGGACGCATGCGGACAATTCGATGAGGACGATTTCTTGCAGAAAGAGAAAAGGGACACCAGACGATTGGGGATTGATTAGATGTGGAAGATGATTTGGCTTTTAAAGATGAGAAGGACGATTTGAGAGCGAATCCGCGCCATTAATTACTCGAAAATAGATTTATGTTCATCAACAGCTCAAACATGCGAAGAGCTTTCTTCGAGCTTCCCTTATATTATTTAAAGGTTTGTTTTGTAGAAAGGGGCTAAGGAAAATAACGCATAAAAAAAAAACGAAGGAAAACAACACCATTTTAGACTAAGGGCTAATTTTGGATTGTAAGCGAATTTATTAGAATCATGTTGAAATATTTATTAAAAATTCAAGTACTTTTTGGAAAAATATCTTGTAGTCCTCCAAAAAGCGACCGAGAAACACTTTTAAGTTTTTTGGCTAAACATTATCAGGAATGCTTATACCAAGGTGTCTTACATTCGATTCTCCAAGTATAAAGAAAGTTATCTCATTTGCGTTCAATGTTGGGAAAGAATTGATCTTCATATGGAATTTTGGTAACCAGATCACTCAATATTGTGGGCGGGCCGACATGGCATAGTGGGCATGAACACTATGGGCTTCTTTCTTCTAGCAAATTGTTTTGTTTGTGCAGAGCAGACCATCAAAATTAGAAATTAAAAAAGAAAACAGGTTTTCTGATTAACTGTTATACGCGGTAATCCAACCCACCGACTCACACGACACACGGGGACAATATGGTCAACTTAAGACTTGAAAAATTACTAATTTTTGAAGGCTGGGAATTGAATTGGATTTGGATCTCATCCTCCCTATATATTTGATGGGCACAGATCACAGTCCACACACTGCGCTGCCGCTCAATTCTCGCGTCTTCGCTCAATTTTTTCTCTCTCTCCCTCTACGCCATTGATTTGAAAATATCTTTCTCAGTCTCTTCTCTTATAAATTTTATCAGAGACTTCAACAAAAGAAGAAAACAAAGCACCGCATTGAACGTGCCTGACTTTATCTTTTTCTTCTTCCTACAACAAGATCTGCGTCATTTCCAGTTTTTAGGTACTGCTCTTTCTCCTTTTACTTCTGCAACTGCGTTATATTTCTGGGTTTTTGATGCCTAGGAGTTTAGTTTCTGTTTATGTTTTATGCATTTGCTCTGAAACCGGAAATGGGCTTTTTCTAGAATTCTTGTCGGAATATCTTTGCCCTTTGATTTATGCTGATTCACTCACATTTGATACATGCATTTGATTTTACTTTCTTTTATTGCCCAGAATCCTGAATTTTGCTTTCTTGGGTCGGATTGAAAATGAAGGAAATTAAATACTCCAATCCTGAATCATAAAATTTATAATTGATCCATTACAATAGATAAGTGTAAGATCCTTGGATTTTCTTCATTTTCTTGATGACCAAATAAGAGGTAATATATGCACACACAAAGGGGTAGGCACACACACAAGTGTTCTTGTTGTTTCTGATGTCTTAAATCTCCAACAATTGCAACATTTTCTTTTTGAAGGTGTTAATTTAGCTTCTCTTTTAGTTAGCACATTGTTTCAGTGGTTCCTCGTAGATCTCTTTGGTTTCGTCTTTAAATTTCGATTCAGATCTGTGAATCGTATGCATTGGTGGTAGCTTATGGCAATTGGAGTAATATATTTCCTTGTTTACCAATAAATTGTTCTAAACTCATTGTCTGAATAATCTTTTGCATTTCGTCCCAAAAAAAAAGAATAATCTTTTGCATGTCTTTTCGATTCTGAACAGAGTGAGGTACAATCCTCATCAGCTAAGATGAGTTTGAGTGATGGGAAGATTTATCCAGTGAGTTCTAATGGAGACATTAAGGACAAGCCCTTCAAGATCTTTGTGGGTTATGATCCACGTGAAGATCTCGCATATGAAGTCTGTCGCCACTCCATTTTGAAACGATCTTCAATCCCTGTTGAGATCACACCAATCAAACAATCAGATCTGCGGAAGGATGGCCTCTATTGGCGTGAAAGAGGGCAGTTTGAAAGCACCGAGTTCTCTTTTTCTCGGTTCTTGACTCCACATTTGGCCAATTATGAAGGTTGGGCAATGTTTGTGGATTGTGATTTTCTTTACCTTGCTGACATTAAGGAGTTGAGAGACTTGATTGATGAAAAGTATGCTATAATGTGTGTTCAACATGATTATACTCCAAAGGAGACAACGAAAATGGATGGAGCAGTGCAAACTGTGTATCCAAGGAAGAACTGGTCTTCCATGGTGTTGTATAATTGTGGGCATCCCAAGAACAAGGTCTTGACACCTGAGGTTGTGAACACAGAAACGGGTGCTTTTCTTCATAGGTTTTCATGGCTTGAGGATGGTGAAATTGGGTCCATCCCATTCGTTTGGAATTTTCTTGAGGGACATAACAAGGTTGTCGAAAATGATCCCCAAACACGCCCCAAGGCTGTACACTATACTCGTGGAGGACCATGGTTTGAGGCTTGGAAGAATTGTGAGTTTGCAGACCTGTGGTTGAATGAGATGGAGGAGTGCACGCAGGAAACAAAGAAGAAAACTGAAAATTAGAAAGAATCAATAGCCGATGTTCTTCGTTCAAGTTTGAGATTCATTGTTGAAGTTAATTCTATCCTACTCTATTTTTTAATTTATGTGAAATGTGTTAAATAAATCCCAGAAGAAGTTAGGATGAGTTTACTATTATTAGAACTGAACTAAAAAATTTCTTCTACATAGACCTTAGTTTGTTCAAAGGGTTTACATTCTGTCTTCTGGCCTGATATTTGGTAATCTTGTAATTCTATTCTTTCAGTTTTTTCATTGGAACCATAGAAATATATTTGTATAATTTGCAATCGTCGGTCAGTGTATAACTGCTCATTGATGATTAGAATGTATTGCAATATTTTATCAAAGGAATTTCGGTGCGCAACGACACCGTTTGGATGTCAATACTCAATCTTAGGTTGAATTTGGTGTTTCAACCCTGACCCGCGGCCCGCCCAAACCAACTCGGGTCTGAGCCTTTTGATACGTGTTACTTCTTCACTCTGCCTTGTGAAGCCATTTTTGTCTCCATTAAAAGGGATCACTTGAACTCTAGTTCTATTTGATCTTTTTTTGGATGAGATCCAAGGGTGTCCACCGCCGAAAGCAGTGACTAATCCCTTTTGCCGCGGGAGCTCTCCCAAAGGAAGTAAACGGCTAGCCACGAAATGCGCTCCATTCCCATGGGCGGGGATCGAACCCTCAACCACATGATTAAGGAATGAGGTGAGCTACCACCACACCACATCTCATGGTTAATTCTATTTGATCTTTTATTATTGACAAAAAGTGGTCGTATATTAATCTAATCTCTCTCGTTCGCATGATTAATACGTACTTGTTGGATTGGATTTTTCCCTTAAATATGGGCTTTATTTTGTCGAAGGAATGGAGTGTTAGCATCACCCGCCCAAGCAACTCGGGGTTGACACGTGTCAGTTGTCACATAGAATCACTTCCTCACTCTGTGTCACACTATAAAAACGATCTCCATGGAAGCCATTTCCCTCATTTCATTTGTCACTGAAACCAGAAACCCAAACCCAGAATTTCTGCAGCGCCTTCTAGAAAACCTACCGCTGACCGCGCCACAATCTCTGCCTTTCAACAATGGAGTTTTGGGGTACGCCTCTCTCTCTCTCTCTCTCTCTCTGATCGTTGATTTGTTAGGATTTTGTTTTCTCATTTACGAGTTATGGCTTTTCGTTTCTAGCAATGTTTTGCCGTTTGGTTCCCGAGAAAACTAGGGAAAATGGTAGGACTAGTCTGGTTAGGTTTTCATGATGTGGCTTGATATCTTACAGGAACATGACAGACTGAGCCATAATTCAACTGTCTAACTCGGTCGTGATGAGTCTTTTTTATTATTTTCGTTTTTACTCCCTGGTCATTTTACTCCAAGTGGGAAAGCGTTTAGGGTTTTTAGTTTTTTTCTTTTCAAATGATTTGTTTTATGCTCATTTAGAACTTAATATGTTTGCTTTCACTCTGTTTGTTTACCGATAAATTAAATGGAAAAAACATTTGAGTCTGAGTTCGCTGTACATTTTTCAACTGAAGAAAAAAGAACTATTTTGTTGTCTTCTGCATGTTTGTCACTAAATGATATTGGCTTCACACATGGGAAAAGAAAAACCCTTTGACGCCTTGTTTTCATTCTGAAAACTTTTGCCACATTACTTTTTGTTAGTGTCAATATTTCAATTGTTAATTTACTACTTTAATGTGACTCAATTTCCAGGTGTTGAGGTAAAAAGTGGGCAGTCTGTTTCTGTTGAACCTAAAAATAAGGTCGTGCATCTTTCACAGGTAATTAGCGAGCTATATAAATTTGTTGCTTTTTTCCTCTTTTGTCATTTCAGCATGGTGTACAAATGACTTTTATAATGTAGGTTTGTCTGGATGATGTCAAGAAAGCAAAGGGAAGCAATCCTATTTCACTCTTTGCGAAAACTGGCAATCATAAGCTTGTTCTTGGAATTCTTTCTGCTGAGAAATTCCCCCAGTTGCCTTTGGATATTTTTTTTGGAGAGAAATTTGAGCTATCCCATAACTGGAAAAATGGGAGCGTCCACTTCACTGGATATAAGTCTCTGTCGAAATATCCTTTTTGTTAATGCCTTTTCATGTTTGAATGTGATGTTTTACATCTAACAGTACTTTCTTTGATCATTGAATGATGTGTTATCTCCTTGACTGCATTCTGATTTGTCTCACCACAGGTGATCATTCTGGTGAGTCACGATTCTAGCATGTGGTTTTATTGTAGTTCTAACTCTTAAGCTCTTAAGCTTTTTTTTTTCTTTTGCTTCCAGATTCTGAAGAGGATGTAGCACTTACTGTGGTTGATAATGGTAAAGATATGCTTATTTATTATTGAGTAGTGTGATCTGAGTCTTGTAAACTTTTGCTTCTGTGATTCATAACATGTTTATGTAGGAAAACCTGTCATATCAGGCAAACCAAAGGTGAGTACTGAGGACGCTAAGAAAGCTATTAAATCTGAGCAAAAGGAAGCTAGTAGTGATGATGATGAATCTGATGATGAAGAAGTTGGCGCTGATCAGGTATTCTTATTATCTTTCTAATCTGTTTGAACACCATGTTGAGTGACTGAACCATTTTACCCTGTGTGGAGTTATTGTGACTACAGTGGTTGACTGACAAAAGGTACATTTGTAGCAAGCATGTTTTTTCTTATATTGTTAATAGTGCCAATTATAATGGTTCGTTGCCCAAGTTTTATATGTCAAGGACTTGTGCTCTAGGATGAGGTATCAATTTACTTCAGTAGAAATGTCGCCTTCATCTCTGTTGTTTAGGTATATTTTGTCATGGTCTCTAAAGATTCTAAACAGAAAAAACTTTATTTAGGTATTAATTCCTTGAAATATAGATTTGGGACTGGGAAATAAGTATTGGGCTCTGGAGCATGAGTACTTGAGCACAGAAGTTTCCCACACATAACTACATATACCAGAAGTTTGACCTTTTAAAACATTGAATTGACATTCGGGCTATAAGATTCTGTCTACACTTTGGAATGATCAACTCCTTTCATTAGGAAATTTTGTTCAACTATAATGATGTGGTTTTGCATGGTATTATCTGGATAGAACAGTAAGTACTGAATATATCTGCTTGCTGGTGTGTTATACAGACCAAGGTCAAGTTTGAGGAAGGTAGCAGTGAAGATGAGGATGAAAGTGATGATGACGATGACGACGATGCTGATAGTGAAGATGAAACTGATGACAGTGAGGAAGAGGATGAAGAGACTCCGAAAAAGGTAATAGCACTCTCTTATAAACACCTTCATGTGGAGAGTTTCAATTTCAGATGCCCTCTACCCTTCTACATTGTTCTGCATTGTTATCTTAATCAAATTATTATTGTTAAGTAAATGCACTCGTCTTATTTATTGTTAAGGCTGATGTGAGCAAGAAGCGACCTGCCGAGTCTACTAAAACACTTGCTAATAACAAGAAGGCAAAGTTTGTTACCCCTGAAAAGACTGGTAAGTTCTTTGTCTTCCGATGTTATTATTTATCTTGTTACAATTTTAAATTTCGTTGCTTGCTGTGAAAGACACAAATTACAAAATTTCATAAATTTACACATTTAATTTTCGAAGTTTTAACGCTTATGGACTTGTGGTGGAATAGGCTGCCTGTGGCATCAGTCAAATTGACGATGTTATATGTTACCTTTAGATTGAATACGAGTCTGGGTGTCTTTAAGCTGTTTCAACTCCTAATTCTATTATCAAAATGGAGATGTTTGGCTGACTGCTAACTGTTGGAGCAGATAGCAAGAAAAGCAGCGTCCACATAGCAACTCCTCACCCTGCAAAGCAGGCCGGAAAAAAACCAGCTACTTCTGATCAGTCAAAGCAGCAGGCTCCAAAATCAGGGGGCACATTCAATTGCCAATCGTGCAACAGGTATTTTTTTCTTAGAAAAAAAAAGGTTCTTCCAAATTTCTGCCTTGTTAAAACAAAATTGTAATTTCTTATGCTATTGTTCTTGCAGGTCGTTCAACTCAGATGGTGCATTGCAAAGCCATACAAAGGCAAAGCACAGCGCTGCAAAGTGAAAGGCGGAGTAGTTCCTACCATGGTGATGTTTGGGATTGATTACCGGAGGAAGTTAGGTTTAGGAAATATGAAGGGAGAGATTAGCTTAATTATTGGTTACTAACTGATCTTGTTATTACCAGGCGTGTATGAAAATCTTTTGCTGTTGATCTGGGAGGCATTTTCTTATATACTTGTTTCGGATTCTAAGGTTTTGGTACGTTCTTATGAGTAAACCGTGCATTTTTCTTAATATGCTATCGTTTCCTACCCAGAATTGGTCAAAACGAAATCGCAGTCTATTGGAAGTCGATAACAAAAAATAATAATAAAATAAACTTTTCAATAAAAAATTTCAAATGACCACATTGAGTGATGAAACTACAGAAATTAAATGCTAGAAACAGAAAATCGCGAAAAGTGCTTTAAAAGTAAAGAAAATAAATCCGTCAAATATAACTTCTCCAAGGCAAAGCCTCAAAGTCTCCTAGCCCGCCTACCCACTGCTTCATATTGTTGAGGAGAGAGTGTAATTTGCTTATGAAATGTCACACGAATGTCCATCTTCTTGCGGCCTGAGAGAACCATACCATTAAGAACACCAGATATTTTGTGAATCATATCACGTACGCTCTCTAATGGTGTCCATTGATCTTCGTCTGCAGTGCCTGCAGAGCGAGAAGAATTCTCGTTCCAGCGCAGCCTGTTGCCAAGGAACTGGAACGGTATTTTCTCGTTTATCATATGATCAACTGTCATGGTGCCTATAAGCAATCGCAGTGAATGTTCTGATTCTAGTGGTGATGGTAATTGCATGCCATCGAATGCGTGCTCTTCATCGAGGTCTCTGATTGGCCATCTTTTGTTGAGGTCAGTATCCGAATAGTAGGTTCTCTTGACATTCCAAGTAACTGAGACCACCAGATGATCAATGGAAAGGGATGGATCAGCATCACCATTCGGCCGGGAACCTGATCGATCCTCTGCCGTCACGTATACGATATAGTCGTCATTGGTGTAACTGGGTTTGAAGGCAGGCGACATCTTGAACTCGATTGGAAAGCGAAGGTTGCGTTTGTGTGTGAGAGAGATGTGAAAAGCTTTTGTTGATGGGTGAGAGATTGATGTTTGCTCTTGACATTGGTTTCCTTTTATAATGATCAGAATCCATGTACTAGTCTTACTAGGATGCCTTTTTACGCAAGAAATGCCTCTCATTTATCTTCGTCGTAGGAGATTAGGATTAATTGTTTCCACTTACCCTAGGGAGTGTGATTTCTTTTTTAAGGTTTTACTAGTTCTACTAAGAGTATGATTTCATTTTTAAATGATTTACTAGTGAAACTAGGATAGCAAATATGTAATTATGGTTGATGATGAGTTTGGAGATAATCGAACCTATTTTAGCACTTCCATTTCTTGACATGCCTTCCCATTGGTATTGGTAAATTTGGTATTAACATTCCTTTCCATCCGACGACAGAAGCATTCACATTTTTTGTCATTTCACAAAGTGCTTTTCAGAGTTAAATTGTTTAATTGGAATGGGAACATAAATACCATACTTGTAAAGAAAATAAGAGAGGAAAAAAAACAGAAATCAATTCAAGCTCTTGGAGATAACCTGAGAAAGAAGGATTATGATAATCCGAAGCGAGTGTGGTACAATAAAGGATTTGGATTATGATAAGTCACAAAAATGGATAAAGAGATAGAGTTGTGATTAGGGTTTAGGAAGGAATGGGTTGAGGGTTAGGATTGTGATATTCATAAATTGCTATTATTTTCCCTCAGGATTTGAGACTCTCAGAAAAATATAATATCATTTGATTCCTTCCCAAACAAAAATTGCATAGTTCCAGTTAAAATCATGCTTCCCATCCAAGCCAATTACGCTTGGCATGCCATGCGCATCCTGTTTTCACAGGAACCCAAAATAGTTACTAACGGTAAAAACTGTTTAAAGCGAGCCATACTAGTATACTATCTAAGAAAATTCAATACAGGAACTTGGGAAACAATAAATATATCACAAAGCTCAAATTAGCAAAAGCAGCAATAAAAATCACGCTAACAATTCTAACAACACGGTCTTAAAGACTTTAATAAGACATCTCAGACAATATTTCATAATTCTAGTAAAAACATTAATGTCTCTTACTTCCCGTACACTTTGGATCTTTCCTATAATAATAACTCACCCTTGCAGCCAGCGTTTTCCTGCACCAGGATCCGGAAATTACCCTAACGCCTCCAAAACCCATCACATCTAATACTGGACACAGCTCTTGGACGACAGCCAACTTGTATACAAGTAACACGGTTAGCTGCCTGAAATAACTGAGGCTTGATCTCAGAAGCAGGAAGCTTGCTTTTGTACCTATCACGCTACTGCTGCTGCTGCTGCTGAGGATCTTCGTAGTACTGATCGCTGTTCTCAGCATAACCATTCCATTCATCATCATTATTGTTGTTGTTGTTATTATCATACTTACTTCCGGAGTCCACCTGTTCCCGTTCCCTGTTCCATTGCTCAATCTTAGCCCTTCTTTCAGCACTGCTTTCCCTGGCTGGAGGACTCCTATTCCTTTTCCCCCCAGTGCCCACAGGGCTTCTACTTCTTCCTCTACGTCCGGGACTACGGCTTCTAGGCCTCCTGGCTTTATCATGGAAACGATGATCTCTGTCATCATCTCCTCCTCCTCTTCTGCCAAAACCACGACCTCCATGTGGTCGCTCCTGATAACCACCACGATGATGCCTTTGAGGACTACGGCTTCTGCTTCGACTGCGACTATGCCTTCTCCTGTTTCTCCCAAATAATCGCCTCCTCAACTCCCTAAAATTGGCACAAATAGGTTAATAAACTACCAAGTCATCATGAAAATCAGGCTGTTTGTAAAACAAGAGAAGAATAATCTCACCTGCTAATTTTCTTCAAATGCATGAAGTTGCAATATCCACCTCGATTGCATACATTTTCTTCATACTGCCTACATGTAGCTTCACGAAAATCCGTCACCGGGGAAAAGTCGACGATGATGGGGCGCCCTAGTATATTTAATAATCATCATATTGCCAAAATGTTATTGATTTCGTGAAAACAGTAATCTTACACTCAATGAGTACTATCTTTATGAAGAAGAAATAATAATAAAAGATAAGAGAGAAATAGCAGTGGCCACAATAACACATGCCACAACCAACTAACAAAACGATCATAACTCATGCTTTCTCCTAATTCCAACAAATAAAATTACAAATCCCTTAAACAAGACGGAATTCTACCCACATACTTCATTTCAAAGAATAAAGATGTCACTGAGGAACTAAATCTGTGTGCTTTTGTCCAATTAAAAAAAATATAGTGCAGACACTATGCTAATCCTTGCTTAACTGTGAGTTACCTGACCAAAATGTAGTTCATCAGATCATAATCTAAGATGAGTAAAAGATGAGACAAACTACAAATGCTTATAGCTCAGAAATTTTAATTCGGTCCTGCCAACCCAACTTGGGCTAAACTAGCTCTGGTTTGAAACTTTGAATCTCAAATCCCAAAGACCTGAAACCAGATTTATTATTAAATCTCATGTATCTATATAGCTCACATGTATTCATTGACCATTCTCTTATATATATCTAGACGGTTATATAATAGTGTATCACCAAGAGACAATTATCTGAAAAACTTTGCATACAAAAGGTTTTCCTATGGAAATATGACTGTTTACATTAATGCCAAGCCATGAAATATGATTGACTGATGGAATTTGAGTAACTCATTCAAATGACTCATAATCTACTAAATATGTAAGGTCTTCTAACAATATAAAAATAAAATATGAAAGAATCCTAAGGCCAGACCTGATAGATGGCATGTTAAAAAAAAAAAAAAAAGGGAGATTCAAGCATTCTAAACCGAGTCTTCAATGAAACTCAACTCTACGTTGGAAAGTTCAATAATATTTTGCAAAACAACACACTCTGAACTGTGATGTTACACAGTACATCTGCATAACATATATCAAGCAACAGATGAAAATTGACTTCTGCTGAACGGATTACAACGGCAAACAAAGTCGCCATACCATCATGACTATTAATCTAATGTATCAGAAATTTAGATGGAAGGGGAAAGGTAAAAGTAACCTGCATAGAACCTCCCAGTGAGATTCTGAAGCGCAGCTTGAGCATGTTCTTCTTCCCTGAACTGAACGTACACATTACCAACCTACGCGCAAACACATACACAAACAATCAATTAGTCCAACACAAAACTTATTGAACAGAAAAAAGAGACAAACCCTAGAAATTTTACCATGTGGTCAGCCAAATTATCACAGATATTCAAGCTCTCGATCTGTCCATACTTGCTCAGCTCCTCAAACAGATCCTCATAAAAATCCTGCACTCAACAATCACAACAAAAATAAAATCAATGCGAAAACCAATAGCAAATTCTGATTCAAACCTAAAGATGAGAGAGAGAGAGTGTGTGTTTCAATTGAAATTGGGGATGTGATTGAAGACCTCGAAGTTGTCTTGGATCTTTCGAGGGTCTAGGGCTTGGCCCTGGGGGTCGACGCCGGGGTTGGTGAGCATATCGGGCCGCTGGTACATGTTGGAAAGCAGAAGGGTGGGGCTGATGCTGGGCTTGGTGTGGAGGCGAGAGCATCGGTCGCCATGCCTGCAAGCACCGATCTTGAAGTAGAAGGGACAGTTGACACGGTCCTTCTCTGTGCCGAAGATGGATGCCAAGTGCTCCGCCATAGCTGAGACCCGTGAATTATGATGTTGGTGCCCTTCTCTCTGTTTTTGATCTTATTAGGGTTTTAAGTTTAAACAAACGCGCAGCTGCAGCGCTATGTTGTTTCTAACTTGTATTTATGTGAGCAAAGAATATATAACATAAAGTTCAAAGGAATAAACAACAAGCAGGTTTGCCCGAGAGGTTAAGGGGGTAGACTTAAGATCTACTGTACATAAGTACGCGTGGGTTCGAACCCCACAGCCTGCATATTTTGTAATTTTACATTTAATTTTCAGGTGTTTTTTTAAAATTAATTAATTAATTAATTTACTTGCCATAATGTAGCTTCTTATCAAATTAATGAAATGGAAAAAGTACAATTTTTTTTTTTTTTTTCCATAATATATATATATATATATATATATATATACATATATACATAAACTTTTAAATTATCTATGTACTGCACCAATTATGCATTCACCGACTTAATTGTATTGATCTTTTGTGGCTACTGGTTTTTTGACTGAATTATATATGCAATCATAAAATTTCTGAATAAAAATAATTTATATATAATTACAAAATAGAATTTAAAAAAAACTTTGTAAATCCCACATAGCTCTCGCGTGATGAAAAAAAAACTAATTATAAATGAAAAATATAATTTACACCTACGTTTATAAAACTAGTACAATAAAATACATATTTTAACCTATGCAATGTACATGGATCTTTAACATGTGGTCATCAACTTAACAACGGTCCATGGTGATTCTTTTCAATTGAAATGTGTAGTTTACGATGTCAATAGTAGTTTTTTGTATTTTGTAAATACAAACAATAATCTAAACTACTCTAAATTAATCTAATTTAGAACTAGAGGATTTGAACTTTCTACAACGAGGCTTTGACCAACAAGCCTAGGAACAAGCCTAGGATATTCGAACTATTAGAGAGAATTTTGAAATTTTAACTTCGGTTAAGATTTAATAAGTTGCGAATAATGCTGGCCTTGTCTCAAATAAATAAATATGGGGCCTAGTAAGAGCTTTTGGAGGTTTCTTGTTATTGTTTTTATGGCAACGACTTTTGCGCTTTGAGCACAATGTCGTCTATTATAATTGAACACCATGGAGATGAAGACGATGAAGAAGTGCTCTCTCAAAAGGCAAACTTAAAGAGAGAATTCCCGATGGCACGTTGATAAAACCATAAGCCAAAACTAGCAGCAGCAAACATTTAAAACCAACTCAAAACATTACACAGACGAACACGCTTACTCAAAAAGTTATGTAGTGCACTGTGTTCAAGCTCTCAGAACAAAACTTCTCTGAAAATTATTGGAAAAAAGGTTTCAAGTTCCCCATAACTAAAACCCATTCTACATGGAAAAACTTATTCCCTCCTTGAGAAGCTCGATTTTTCATTTCATCCCGCACAAGCTTTGGAAGCACTTGATATTCTAATAGGGCTCAACGGGTACGCGGAACTTGGCTCCAGCATAGACTGCCTCTGCACCGAGCTCCTCCTCAATTCGCAAGAGCTGCACATACAAAAACATAAGATGTTCAGAAACCACACATCTAAGTTGAAGAAATTTGAAGAAACAACGGTCAACAAAATTCTACAAAATCATACGAAGGCAAAAGAAACTGATGTTAGTTCAGACCTGGTTATACTTGGCAAGACGCTCCGACCTGCAGGGAGCTCCGGTCTTGATTTGTCCCTGAGAAAAAGTATAATTTCATGAGAAATTGAACTGGGACTCGAGGAAAAGTTGGGGAGCTTGTAATTAATGTCATCAGACACAGAACTCAGGTTAGATAATTACCGTGGCCAAACCCACAGAGAGATCAGCAATAAAGGTATCCTCAGTTTCTCCACTGCAGTCAAAAAATTTAAACCACATCAGGCTACTAGAAATCACTAGATTATGGTGAAGAGAATTGAATTTCAGTTTATGCCATTGCAATTCAAGGTTCAACTTCCTAACCTTCGGTGGCTGGCCATAACACCCCACCCAGCTTTCTTGGACATTCTTACAGCCTCAATGCTCTCAGTTACGGATCCAATTTGATTCACCTGTATCCAAACAAGTTTAAAAGGTGTTATTCATTTTCATAATGGTAAAAAAAACATGCTCTAATAAGATCTATTAAAGAGTGAGACTCTTGCTGTACCTTGAGAAGAAGAGCATTGCAAGATTTCTCTTTGATTGCCTTCTCAACCCTCTGCAAACAGGAATAGAAAAGTGGAGATATCAAGAAAAGTGAGGACATGTCCTAACCTATCTTTTGTGTTCTGTTCTTTCAGAGAGACTGCAAATTGATTCCCTTTTCTCTTCGGATAAAAGAGAAAGAAAGAAAAATACTGCTTTAAGATATCAATAGAATAAATCAATAATCTATGCAGACCTTGGGGTTGGTGACCAAAAGATCATCTCCCACAATTTGTACTTGTTCTCCACATTCAGCTGTCATCTTGGCGTAGTGTTCCCAGTCATCTTGATCAAATGGATCTTCAATTGATACAATAGGGTACTCACTCACAAATGACTTGTAAAGGTCCTTGAGAGCATTTCCTGAGATCTTTTGGGAACCATCATTTTTCTGTGCAGACAAAACAAACAAGGAATATTTAGTTAATGGTAATTAAGAATCAAAAAATTTTGAGGTCGGATAAACACAGTTGCATCCAATTAGAGGATATATTAACAGACAACTCACCTCTTCCTTGAAGTTCAGGTCATAGGTTTTATCTGATCCATAAAACTCAGATGCAGCAACATCCATTCCAATGACAACCTGAAGAGAAAACAACAATAATTTTCCCTCAATACTCTTGCAATATCATCAAATTTTCTTTGTAAAAAAAACTTTGGTTTGAAAAATAAACTTACTTTGCCTGTGTATCCAGCCTTCTCAATGGCTGTCTTGAGCAATTCAAGACCTTCCTTGTTCTCCTGAATTCACACAAAAAGGATGATGATTTCAGTAGACAGATGTGAAAGGAACAAGGAGGAATAATTAGTAACTTCAGTTAAATGCTTCGGTTTCATCAAACTATTGTTAACCTGAATGTTAGGAGCAAAACCACCTTCATCACCAACATTGGTTGCATCCTGACCATATTTCTTCTTAATCACAGCCTAAAGAGAACAAAAGACAGAGTGGTCAGTGAGCAATTAAAGAGCAAGACTGAATCAAAAAGATAGTACATTCCCAAAAACTCTAAGAGAGTACATCCCCCACTCCCGTAAAATAAAGGAAACCCACGGTACCCACCTTTAGATGGTGATACACTTCCACACCCATCTTCATGGCCTCTTTGAAAGAGGAAGCTCCAACAGGAAGAATCATGAACTCCTGCAGACCCAAGTTAACCAAATACTCAAAATCAAGAAGCAAATTAACAACAACAAAAAAAGAAAAATCAATGAGATTTTTAGGAAGCATACCTGCATTGCAAGTTTGTTTCCTGCGTGTGATCCTCCATTGATGACATTGAATGCAGGAACAGGCAACACTAAGTTCTTGTTGCCAGCAAGATTGGCAATATGCTGTAATTGAAAATACAGTAACACTAAAATCAGAACACTGAACAATCAAAAAGGAAAGAAAAGCAATAGAAATTATCTGATCTAGAAAATATTACCTTGTAAAGAGGAATTTTCTTGACGCTAGCCCCAGCTTTGGCAACTGCAAGAGACACTGCCAAGATGGCATTTGCACCAAGCTGAAATACCACAACATATACCAGTTAATTTAATTTTACAACCAAGGATTTGCAGATATAGGCCGAATATAACAAACAGATATATTGTACCTTTTGTTTGCACCAACCCCACTCATTAACAGTTCCATCGAGTTGTTGAACCATGAAGTTGTCAATAGCAGTCTGTTCACTTGGGTCCTGCACGATGTAACCAGAAACATTAGTTTATACCCAGAGAAATCATTACTTAGCCAAGTAAAACATCAGCAGCAATTCTAAGGTTCCAAACAATATAATGACAACCGAAACAGTAAATTCAACCAACCTTGCCAATCAAAGCAGGTCCAATGATTGAGTTCACATTGTTGACAGCCTACACATATAGAAGAATACTGAGTTAATGACTATAACATAAACAAAATATAACGAATGGAAAATCAATCATCGCAACGCTCATTGTGGGTGGTACTGGTATACAAAAACAAGTAACGGTGACGCGATAGCTCACCTTTGAGACACCCTTTCCAAGGTAGTCTTTTCCTCCATCACGCAACTCAAGGGCCTCGTAAACTCCTACAAGTTGATTAAAAACAATAAATAATGAGTGTTTGACAATAGGCATACTAACCAATCAACTGCTAGGCCCTGAATTCCGATTTCACAATTGAATCAAAATCATAGCCTTTCGATTTCGAAGAACCAAAAGAAAATCAGATCAGAGAAATATACCAGTGGATGCACCACTTGGAACAGCAGCTCTAGCCAAAGTCCCGTCTGACAGAACAATGTCCACCTACAATAACACACATCCAGTTTTTTCAATCGTATAATACAGAACTACATGCAACAAAATCAAGGACTGAAAAATTGAACATCACAAAATTAACTTTCGAAATAAACAACAAATTAATATATATATAATCAGAATAACACTATGCGCAGCCTCAAACACAAAACTACTGAATCTCCATCTCTTGTCATGGATTAAACGCATCGTTTCAGTTCGAAGAGAAATCAAACAAAGAAACGTACCGAAAAAATCAAAACTAGACAAGATGAGTGTGCCTCCGTGCTTAAACAAGCAGATCGGAGACTTCGAAATTATCGAAGAGAGAGAAAGAGAGAGAGATTGTGGAGATGCGAACCTCGACGGTGGGATTGCCACGGCTGTCGAAGATCTGCCTTGCCTTGACGGTCTGGATCGTAGCCATAGATGCAGAAAGAGAGAGACTGAGAGAAGTAGATGAGTATTCTTCGCGTAGAGAGAGGAGAGAAACAGAGAGAAGAGTGAGCAAAGTAGTGTGAACAGACGGACGGTGCACCACGTATTTGTAGAGGAGCCTCTGTTAATTACAGCCGTTGGATTGAATAATTTAGGTTTTGCTGAATCATTTAGCCAATATTTATTTTGTAATTTTGATTAGGGCTTTTTTCCTTTTTCTTTTAATTTTTTAATTTATTTTGGAGGGAGGGTTAGGCGACTTTCTAGTTGTACATCATGCACGGGTTGCCAAGGGAAAAAGTTAGGGGCATTTTAGACTTTTTAGTTGTGTAGAAGATTTTTTTTCCTTTCTTGGTGAGGAGGTCGGTAAGAGTTTTATTAACTGTGTTCGATGATGAACGTGGGCGACCAAACCAACCATAAGTCCAAAACATTGTACCTAAAAGAAAAAAAAAACAGTGGGCGTTCAAAGTCTTGGAGTTTGGTGTTGGTGGGCCAAGCAAATGCTCAAGGTTTTTTTAAAATGTAAAATTTCTTTTTTTGGGTACATTGGTGGATTGCTCAAGGAATTTAATTCAAATTTTTTTTTTTGTAAATAAGGAATTATATTTTTTTAATTTGGTAAAAGGAATTTGATTGTTGTGCAAGGAATTTTGATTGTTGTGCACGGATGCAGATTTTTTCATTAATTACACTCACAAAATAGGAAAGAAGCCTAATTAAATTTCATTTTATGGTAAATATGAACATTCATATATATGATATAACGATGAATTTGATTGTAACGACGATGGACGTGGCGGTGCACAAAATTGTTATCAAACTAGTATTTGTATTGTTATTTTTGAATACATAACTTCCGGCACATAGATAATTATTCTTAACCACTCAAGTCAGGTTATTGCTAATTTGCTAATTTATTGGCTTTTATGTGATCCACCATGAGATGCTCAAGAGCTGAGGGAATATCCTTATTGTGGCATGTTGAGGGTTGACTCTCAGTACAAAACTGCAAGATCTGCATTTTCTTATTAGTTCTCCATCGTCGGTGACGACAACAGGGCCTCTTTGAGTCCACACAATTTAAAATAATAGTAATAAATAATTATAATGTAGTTGCAGAATATTATTATCTAAAATTCAGTTGAAAAAAAAAACAAATATATTTATTATTTAAAACAATTGCAGGTTTTCATTTTTACAAATAGCCGCTAAAACTATTAAAATTATGGATAAATGGGTTCATGCCATCCAACAAAGTCAATTCTGAATTCTTGGCCTTATTTATTTTCGTTAATTATTAGTATTGCAAATTAGAAAATTGTTTCCTTCATCATCTCACAATTGACCTTTTGTTTATTTCTGTCATTGAAAAATGGGTGCCTCATGCGCATGCGATTGCATGCTTGATATTAGTTAGACTTTGAAATGAGCTCGGAACTTTGGACAATGGAAAAATAATATGTATATTTTATTAAACAAATATATTGAACACTATGAATAGCCATATGTACCTATAAGAGCATCTCCACCCCAAAGGGCAAGGACAAGGCAAAGTTTGTCACTATTCATGTGAATAGTGGCAGCCTTGCCTTTTTTTGTTCTACTCCTATGGGCTAAAGCAAGAGCAATTACTATTCATGTGAAATATAAGGAGATGAATTTGTATAGAGTTTTTGGTGTGGGAAGTAAAGAATATGGCTAAGTATTTATTTTTTTAAAAATATGAAAATTTTGGTTTTTTTTTTTTTTTTTTTTTGCTGATGTCATTTTTCTTTTCTACTTTTTCAATTTTTTTTATTGCTGACATCATTATGACATCAGCATTGAGTCATTCTGCCTAGGCAACAGCTCGGGCTAAACTTGCCCGTGGACTTGCCCAGGTTGTTGGGGCCCACCATTTGCCCGGGCTAAAACTGTTGCGCTGGAGCTGCTTTTAGTTGCTTGGGCCCCCTCTTGCCAGGGCTTCCCCTCAGCAGTGGAAGTGCCCTAACGAACAATGTTCACTTTTAAAGTCGGTAAAAGTCTCGAATTCAAGTAGTCTTTCTCTTTTAAAAAGATAGGACTATTCCACAATAATTGATTGTTTTAGACAAAAGTAGGGAGGAACTACAACAAATTTAAATTGAAACGGAAATATGTGTAATGTTCATTTCCATTTGTCAAATAATTGATTGCCCTTAGACCTTCTGCACAATACATATCTTCATCTCATCTCCCTCAACAGCAGATGTAACAACTTCTTGGTTTGGTTGAGATTCGGATTCATCATCCTTACTTTTTTATCCCACAGTATGGTGTTGATTTCATATAAAGCTTTTGCAAACATTTATTATCAGTTTTCGATTTCGAAAACAACAAACTCTTAATTATTTATTTCAAAAGAAAATTATCAATCATATTATTTCACTTGAAATTGATCATCCAAATTCACTATTTTTTATTCAACCTTCCGAGGTGTAACTTCTCATCCAACAGCAAAGACCCTACAATTTCAACCATCACAAGTCAGAGAAACTGAGAAACTGCAAAAACAATGGCCCTTCCTTGTTTACTGCCCATGACATTAGGGTCACAGCAACTGCTGAGTTAATAATTCCCTAAACAAACAAGTAGAAATAGAATCTCATATTTGTTTCCAACAAAATTCAGGTATATTTTTGCAAAATTCCCTTTTGTGTATAAGATGCACCAACTTAATTTGTAAAACACTTTTAATAGTAGCAACAAATACCAGTATTAATTGCATTCTAATTATTATTCTATTAGGAGTTCAAGTATTAGTTATTTTAGATGCGTTATAATCTATGTTGATTTGTACCGAATAAGAAATTGTGAGAAGTTCAGGGGGCGTTTGGTATCCTATTCAAATAGGGAACTCAAAAACTTTGATTTTTCTTAAAAACAAGGAGTTCTTAAATCTATTTTTAAGATTCAAAAACATGTTTGGTATGCAACTTGAAAACTGTTTTCAAATATTAAAAATTTGAGAACTTGTGGGTTGTTAGAAAAAAACTAAAAAAACGTATATTTTTTATTTTTAATAATTGGGTGGTTTTTTAGTTGTTTTTGAGTTTGAGTTTTTAAAAATAAGGCTACCAAACAGGTTTTCTTTGTTTTGGACTCAAATTCTGTTTTTGAGTTTTAAAAGTTGGATTCAAGTTGAATACCAAACAGGCTCTTAATATCCCAGCCAAACTTCCACCGGTTCCAATCTCTCTCCACACATAGAGCAAAAGCTACCGATTGAATCGAACCCATTAAGGACATTAGAGCCGTACTTGAGAAAGGGTATGGGAATGGTTTATTCATTTTTTCCTGCATTGATAAATTGAAATAAATACATAACAAACAATAAAAAGTTTGAGAAATAAAAACACTCAAAGGAAATAAAGAAAAGTAACTTGAATTATCAACCACAAAGCATAGGACACACAGCTACCCAAAGATAGCATGAAGCCGGACAAAATACTCCCAAAACTTTTGTGTGATGCCTTGTTTTGTTGGCTATGATTATGCCTTTGTAGAAGCTGAAGAGCATAGCCCCTCCTACTCCCATAACTATTCCCAGAATTTCAGTTTTCCCTGCATTAATTCGTATAGAAAACTTCTCCATCCTGAAATATATAATAAAATTAATGGATTAAGCATAGTCAAAATCAGGAGCTTTGCAAGGCCATTACCTGAAAATTAAGGTCCGGATAAAGGTAATTGCTGGGACAAGATTTAACATAGCCATTGCATATGTTGCAGACGTTTAAGGCTAGGCTCTCTCAATGTTTAAATTTTGAGACAGTGAACCCCTGAAATTAAGAAATAATTTTTACTTAATTATTGGAGATATGAATTCCACTGGCCATGTAGAAATTTGTATCGCACTAATAATGATTGATTAAACAGAAAAATCATGATCAAAAGTTTAAATAATTTGCATAAAGACAAGAAGAAGAAAAATTATAGTTACGCAAATAGCCCGCAGAGAAAAGCTTGAAACAATACCATCTGTAAATTGAGAATAATTATAATTCTAATTGCAATCTGGTGAGAATAACTTACGAAATGACTACTATTTGAAGAAGACAATTAAGTCATCTTTCAACAGAATTTGAATCATTTCAAATTATGTTAATACAATTCTACTAAACCACTCTTGCAGCATGTGTAGGAGAAAAAATATTTAAGAGCCTGTTTGATAACCATTTCAATTTTATTTTTTAGTTTTCATTCTTTGTGCTAGAGTATATAGGAAAATGAGAGTGAAAACGGGAGTGAGGATGAGAGGGGAGGATGGGAGGGAATGAGTAACAAAAGTGAAAAAAAATATTTCAAATAGATTTCATTTTTTAGTTTTTAGTTTTAGTTTTAACTTTTGTGACTCCTCCTCTCATCCTCCCCTCTCAATCTTCTCTCTCAATCTCATCTTCCATCCTCACTCTTTTCCTTCTATACTCTAGTACAAAAAATGAAAACTAAAAACTAAAACCTATGACCTCTTCCGGTCAAGAAATGATGTACAAGATCCATAATCTGAAGCCTCTATTTGTAAAGTCTTAAAAAAAAAAACCCCAAGTAGTAAATTTTTTATCTTCCTTGGCCCTCTAACAAAATATTAACCTTTCAAATATAAGGGCGGGTGGAATCATAGCAGCAGCAGCAAAAATCAGCCGGTAGGCAACAAGAATGGTGAGATTCATGCCCTCTTGAGCCACTAGTTTATATAATACATTCATCCCGGTATATAAAATCTGCACCACCACCATTACCATCACTAACTTCATCTTTGACTTCATCTTTGCAATCACCAATCAACGTTTTGAGTTTTGATATCGTCGAGAGAGGTAAGAAAGAACGGCTTTTGCTGGTGTTTAGGATTTAGGATTTAGGGTTTGGGTCTACCAATACTTATAAAGCAAACGAAATTCTTTCCATGAAAAAAGAGTTGGTCATTTCCAGTTGTCTTTGCATTTATAATGGGAAAAACGTTCAAGGACCTGGAATGACAACTATTTCAAATTGCTCGGAAATTCTAGCCTAATTAAAAGGTAGTAGTTTAGGGTTAAAAATGTGTCTTAATGTGTGTCAAAATGCATGTTGATGGTTTAGGGTGTAACCCGTTTGACCTAGTTCTGATGAGTTATGATATGACAAAAAAGACATGGTCTTTGCAAGCATATCACAAGCTGTCAATGACAACACGGGCTTTGGCA